AAGTTGTCCTTGAACTGGCAGCTAAAAGTAATCTTAAGCCTGTAACTTTGGAGCTTGGTGGCAAATCCCCTTTCATTGTATGTGAAGATGCTGATGTAGATGAGGCTGTTGAGCTAGCACACTTTGCATTATTCTTTAACCAGGTACATCCAAAAATTAAGTTTGTCTTGTAAAACACTAATCTCCGATGGAGTTCATCAATAAATTAACTGGTTCTTTTTGTGACATCCAGGGACAATGCTGCTGTGCTGGGTCTAGAACATTTGTACACGAACGTGTGTACGATGAATTTGTTGAGAAAGCAAAGGCACGTGCTTTGAAGCGCGCTGTTGGTGATCCATTCAAAGGGGGAATAGAGCAAGGTCCTCAGGTAACATACCCTCATCCATAGATCAAAATGCACAGAAAGAATTACACTAATTTGATATTTCCTGGCATCTTTCATAAAATGTCTGTTCTATTGACGATTTTATGTATGAACCAAAAACCAGATTGATTCAGAACAATTTCAGAAAATATTGAAGTATATTAGATCTGGTGTTGAAAGTGGAGCTACACTTGAGACCGGAGGAGATAGATTTGGCAACTCCGGCTTCTATGTTCAACCCACTGTCTTCTCAAATGTCAAGGTACGATGAATTAATAATAATATATTTTGATTGCAATCTCATTGTATCAGTTATGTTTAAGACGAGAGTTCTTGTGTTACTAATCGTTAAAACAACCAGGATGACATGGTGATTGCAAAGGACGAGATCTTTGGCCCAGTGCAATCCATATTAAACTTCAAGTGAGAACAATGATTCCCTTTTGCAAATAATATCATTATATTTGCACTTTTACTTGAAACACTAATTATCTGTTGTGTTTGATCACAGCAACCTTGATGAGGTGATTCACAGAGCAAATAACACACCCTATGGCCTTGCAGCGGGGGTGTTCACAAAAAGCATTAACACAGCAAACACTTTGACTAGAGCATTGAGAGTTGGAACAGTGTGGGTGAACTGTTTTGACACATTTGATGCTGCAATTCCCTTTGGAGGTTACAAAATGAGTGGTCAAGGAAGAGAAAAAGGAGAATACAGTCTCAAGAACTACTTGCAAGTAAAGGCTGTTGTCACATCCTTGAAGAACCCAGCTTGGCTTTGAACATCATTGATTTAGCTTTATCTGATTAAAAGATTAATAAATAGGCTTCAACAATCAAGATCATTAAAGTGGTTTATCCAATTCATAGTATCTGATAATGCCGAATATAATCTAGTTTGCTTTTTCCGTTTTTGTCCCTGAATTTTATGGTACTGTGAGAAATAATATGGTGTAAAATTAACTGATTCTCACTAATATATGAAGTAAAAGTACTCATCTCAAAGTAAAAGTATCTGCATTAATCCACTGTATATGTAGTTTAAAACAAAGTATCGATAATAAACAAAAAAAGGTTCAGAGGCATAACATTTAAATTTAAAAATTGCTCAGAGGCAAAGCTATAAGTGAGTTCTACTCCATTAATCTCTTCAAAACAAAAATTAGAAGGAGCCACCATGAAACTGAAGTCATAACTCTTCCAATATTTAATTCATTGTAAGGATATGGAGAGTAAAATCAACACAATGTGTGTATCCTTTATTAAGTAGGTCACCTGATTTTCAGGTATTTGAACTTGTCATTTTCTCTTTTTACCACCTCCTGTTAAAAAAATTAATCATGATTTTTTCCTTCCAATCCTTCTCCTTTCACACAAACCCCCTCAAAGCTAGTTTAAGTATAAGAGATTATGTAATTATTTTGTTAAATTTTTACACTCCAAATTATTGCAATAGTCTATTCATATACTAAGAAAAGAAATCATCTTAAGATTGCTACATTGGATCTTTTAACACTTGTAAGAGGCCTCATAGAATCTCTAAATTTTAGGTTCTTGATCATTCTTATAACTAAGAATGATTCTTTATATTAGATGTGATATCCACATGTAAGAATTTTTCTTGTATATACAACCACTTTTTGACCTTAAAATATAATTTTCCATGAACTAGACGCATTAGAGTCAAGAGGGAAATAAGACAACATACGCATAAAAGTGAAAAAAAAAAAAAAAACCCTAGAGTCAAACGATAAAAGACTAGTGAACCAATGGCCATGCCACTGTTATGAAAGTAGGGAATGGATAATGGTTTCCATGATTAAATTGAAGCTCCCAAATGAAATTTCCAACCTAACATGATTGAACTAGTATTAACTGCATTTTGTTCAGTATATTTACCTAATTCATCTGTCTCAATATCCCGAAAAAATGATCTTCAGTAAAATCATTCCATAAACCCTTTCCAACTTCCTGAGCACCAAGTCTCTCCTTAGAGTCAATGAATCATTAGCAATCCAAAGATCAATTAAATACTGTTTTTCTATTTATGCATCCTTGGGAAGTATTGCACAATAAGCAAAACAGTGACTGAACTTTATTTGTAAGATTCAAGTAACTTAACCTCAAGACAGACATTATGGAGTTTTCATTGTGTGACAACTCCAAAAGGTTGCTTTCCTTAAGGTTGAGCCACTCATTTTCTTTCTTTTGAAGCTAAAAGGCCTCCTAGTGCTTTTGTTGCACGAGGTACTCCTTCCCTATGATCACAAGCTCTACCTATGTTTCATCATTTGGTTCAAAGGCTCTTTGTTTAAACAATTCCCAACAATCATTTTCGGATAGTAGGGATAATTTACGAGAAGGAATTGTTCCCATAATTGCGGCAACTGTTGGAAGATGAGTATAGTGACTAAAATGGGAGTGCCCTTTGCTCCACAAGCCAACACAAATTTCAACTTCTGCCAATTCACTCGCTCTTCATCCCACACATTATCCAAGTCAAGAAAATATATTTTTCTTTGAAGCATATAGTTTCCCCTGTAGTGGTTGCAGATTCAATTGTCGAAGGCACCTTCAGATACTGCTTCAATGATAGCTTTTGTCATTCTTTTCAAACTGAAATCCTCACAAACACATAACCAAAGTTTAAAGTCGAAGTGGTGACCATCCTCTCATGATTGAAGATGAATTTTGCAAGTGTTGTTTTTCCAAGTCCACCCAAACCAATGATAGGAGATACTGATAAACCCTCAATATGAGAAGCAACATGAATAAGAAACTCTATAATTTTGACTCCATCTTGTTCTCTTCCATAGACTTTTGGTCTGGTGATGAATGAGGAGGTTATCTTTATAGACTCAGCCTTGCTCCTTACTGTTCTCTTCTATAGACTTTTCATTTAATGAATCCAAATCGAAATTATCATTATATGATTTCACATGGTCTAATTTTATTCCATCAATGTTTAAAATTATAACTATACATTTCTTCATCAAATATAAAACAATTTCAATAATAATCTTCCTGATGAAGAGAACAAAAGAGAAGAGAATATCAATAGATTCCAATAAATTCTTTCAATTCAATTGGGTATATGAGATTCAGTTTGAGTATAACCTCTTTAACAATATCCTTAATGAAACTGCTCTCAGCCCTAGCTTAAGAAGGAAAGAATGTAATGAAAAGAAAAAAACTAATATACAAATGACTATTACAATCCATGAACAAGTGGGAGATGATTGAATTTTAAAAGATAAATCTTTTCCGTCTTAACTAGGCAAACCCTCCCTCCAGTTTCTGCAGCAAGAGAAATAGCATTGGCTACAAATCTATTTTACACGGGCTAACAGGTACGGCTGCCAAAACGGCCACCTAATCTGGTCTGGTCCTATGGGACAAAAAGTTTTCGCCTTATATTAGGCCAACGGATCAATTTTTTTTTTAATTAAAAATTTTGTTTAAAACAAAAAATATCACTCATTTATTTATTTAAAATTAACTCGGTTTAGATAAAATAAAATTAAATATATAAAATCATAAAAATAACTGTTATAATAATGTAATTTTAAAGAATTATAATTGTCCATATATCGAAGTCAAATATATTTTACCAGAAATATTAGATAACACATCATTTAATTTTTTTTCCAATTAAATATATATTATAAATATCTGTAATGGATGTATTTCTAATTATTAGTTTGAAATATCCTACTAAAAATATTAGATAATACGTTAATTGAAGTGTTTCTATAATTGGTTTTAAAATTTTATTTACCTCCCAAGCTATGTTGTAATCCAAATAACTAAATTGAAAATAATATTTAATAATGCATCTAGAAAATACATCTTAGTAAATTACAAACTAGTCTTATAATTCAACATAACTTCGGATCATGATACTTTAAAAATATACTATGTTTAAGAACATATCATATTAAATTATTAATCGTTAAAATCAAATAGAACAAAATAAATGAAAATTATATTTAGAATTAATTATTCTTTTTAAATTATATATATACATAATAAAATATATTATCAAATTAATTTATTATACTTATATTTTATTAATAAAATAATATTATTTTTATTTTATTAATAAAATAATTATTATTTTATAAAATATATCAGTCAATATATTTAGGGATTAATCTGAACTTCAATCCATTCAAATTTATCCTAAATAGGTGTGACCAAAATTTATCTAATTTTATTTATGTCAAAATTTCTTTAATCTAACCTAATCTATTCTTAGGATAGTTCCATGAAACTAAGCCTCTTTTTGATACAAGTACTGACGGCCCAAGAAAAGAAGCAGGGCCTCTTGAACACTACCCCAACATAAGACAGATCAGAAACCTACTTTTGCTTTTAGTTTAACCACATGATTCATCAAGTTTCTTATATTTGAAGACAAAAATAAATAATTTTTATGTATAAAGAATTTGAACCTCTACAAATTAATTTTAATTGAAATTAATTTTTAATTTTTCTAATAATGTACATCTCAATAATTAGTTTGACCAGAAAATAAATACAATAACTAACCTAAATCCAAATAATGGGCAACCCAAGCCGCTCCAAAGTTGACGCTGAAGTTAGTCTCAGAATTCCACGTTGTAAACCTATGTCGCTGTCGGCTCCCTCCCTCCAAGCTCCTTCAAAAGCACGTTCGCTTTCCACTTCTCCAGCGCCACGCGTCGCTTTCTCAGAACACTTATCTTCACGGATCCGCAGAACCCCACGTGTCTGCGCATTAAAATCCCAAAACTCTACAAAACCGAATCATATCTCGACGCGTGTCCTTCATTTTCGTTACTATAAATATACCAGACCTACGTCCCCATGAAATCAAAACAAAACAAAACCATAAGACCAACCACAAAATTCCAACACAAAACTTTCCATGATCCGAAACACACGAGGGTCGGGTCGCCGGATTCTAACTTTCCCGGCGGTTCATCCATGCGAGAGTATCACTCCCTCTATCCTTCTCCCTTCACTCATCACTCTCTGCAACGCTATTTCCTCTTTCCAGCACAGGTTCTCGTGTTTCCCTTGCAACAAGCGAAACGCGAAAAACGCGATTCGTTTGATCCGGCTTCTCCAACCTTTCCTTCATGAAATCCGAGACTGCCATTCGGGTCTTCCTGACCCCGCAACCCTGAGCCTCTCCGAGCTCCATTTAACTTGCCAGAAGCTTCTTTTCCTTCTTGAAGATCTCGCTTGTGAAGGTGCAAAGCTTTACATGTTGATGGAATCGGATCGGGTCGCCTCTCAATTCCGGGTCATATCCAGATCCGTGGCCACTGCTTTGGACGTTTTCCCTTTCGGTTCTGTGGAGATCTCTGAAGAAACTAAAGAGCATATTTTTCTTCTCAATGAACAAGCAAGGAAGGCCAGGTTTGAATTTGAGGAAGAAGACAAACGGGCTGTGATGAGAGTCGTGTCGAGTTTGACCCGGTTTGAGAACCGGGTTGCTCCGGATGAGGGTGATCTGAAGTGGGTCATTGAGTATATAGGTGTTAAAGGGTGGAGTGAGTGTAACAAAGAGGTGAAGTTTTTGGAGGGAGAAATTGGGTTTGAGGGCTTCGATGAGAAGAGGAATAAGGTGATACTTTTGTGTAGTTTGGTGGGGTTCATGAGTTGTTGTAGATGCATTGTGATGGAAGTTGTTGACTGTGAAGAGAGTAGCAAAAAATTTGACGGGAAAAGAGAAAGTAGTGTTGAAAGTGAGATTGATCTGAGTTTGAGTGGTCTTAACTCAGATGATTTTCGATGTCCAATCTCTTTGGAACTGATGAGTGATCCAGTTACAATAGAGACAGGTCATACATATGATCGTTCTTCAATTCTGAAGTGGTTCAGACGTGGGAATTTGACGTGTCCCAACACGGGTAAACGGCTTATGACCACTGAAATGGTTCCAAACTTGGTGCTTCGGAAGTTGATTCAGCAATATTGCTATGCGAATGACATAGGCATTCCCTTTGTTGATTTGGGTCGCAGGAATCGTGAGATTACTGGGAAAGTGGAGCCTGGGAGTGTAGCAGCAGAGGGAGCAATTAGAATGTTGGCTAGTTTTCTAAAAGGCAGGATTGAGAATGGAAGTGAGGAAGAAATGAACAGAGGTGCATTTGAGATAAGGCTTCTTTCCAAGACAAGCGTTTTTAATAGGTCTTGTTTGGTGGAAGCTGGTTTGGTTCCTCTTTTGTTGAGGTTGTTGTCATCGAGAGATTCGTTGACTCTAGACAATGCTTCTGCTGCCCTTCTAAACCTCTCAAAATGTTCAAAGAGTAGAAGTGTGATGGTTGAGAAATGGGGCCTGGAATTGATTGTAGGGGTGCTAAAGAAGGGTGTGAAGATTGAAGCTCGCCAGCATGTTGCTGCTGTGTTGTTTTACCTTAGCGTTGAGTATGGGCACTTGATAGGGAAGGAGCCAGAAGCAATTCCATCATTGATAATGCTAGCCAAAGATGGCTCTTATCGAAGTAAGAAAAATGGGTTGGTTGCTATTTTTGGCCTGCTTAAGGACCCTGAAAATCATAGGAGGGTGGTTGAAGGTGGAGCAGTTCCTTTGCTAGTTGATATCTTGAAAGGATCTGAGAAGGAAGACCTTATCACAGATTCGCTAGCAGTTCTAGCAACTCTGGCAGAGAAGAGTGAAGGAATGATAGCAATTCTTGACGGAGAGGCTTTGCATGTAGCTGTTCAAATGTTGAGTTGTTCCACCTCGAGGGTGGGGAGGGAGCACTGTGTGGCTTTACTGCTTTCTTTGTCACTAAATGGTGGAGAGGACGTGGTTGCTTATTTGGTCAAGAGTCCTTCTCTTATGGGATCCTTGTATTCCCAACTCAGTGAAGGCACACCTCGAGCAAGCAAGAAAGCCAGTGCTCTCATTAGGGTCCTCCATGATTTTAACGAAAGGAGGTCCTCTAGCTTTAAGATTTCAGTTATTCCACGAGAACAGTTCATTCATGTTCGGTAACCCAGTATTTTTTGTTACCTGGGTATTCTTTATTTGTTTGAATTTGTAGATATCGTTCTATATTTGCTTAATTATTATTTTTTTTTTTACTCAAGATATTAGCTCATGTTTTATAGAGCTAATAATTTTATCAGCTTCTGCATTTAAGAATGAAGCTTGTACAAATTACTGTAATTCATTGCTCTCTCTTAATCGAATAAGATTTTATCATGTGTATTAATTTGGTATATTATTAGGCTTTGCCTTTTCTTGTCTCCAAGACATAACTTCTAAGTTCACTTACCTACTTTACCATGCTAGGACCACGTAACTCTCTTATGCGAAAATTCTTTTTGAACCCAGACAAACGTATCAGACACTAATTAATTTAGTCACTGATATTGAAAATTACAAGTCATTTAGTCTTTGGTTTTCCGGTGTATTAATTTTATCTTTAACATTAAGAATTAAATTCATTAATAAATATTAAATCCGAAACTTAGGATCTACATATATTACTTACCATATCACCAATGTGAACGGACCTTCTGGGAATGTGGAAGATTTTGGCTTCGTCCTAAGTGCACAAGAACTTGGGCGCCAACGGATCCGAAACTTTGAACAATATTAGGAAATCTTCTTTTTCACTTGAACAGAAGACAATGGCTGATCTCAAAATCTATGCATTAAAAAATGAAACAACCACAATCTTAAGCAAAAATAATTTTTCCTATAGCATTCTTTTGAGTATAAAGTTAGAAAATTCAGCCATAGTACATTGTTTATCAATATAGTTCGTTTAAAATCACATTATTCTATTTCGAGATAACAAAACCATGGTTCCAACTGGGACTGAGAATAACCACAGCACCTTTGGATTGGACATGGCTAGCACACACCACATTAACTGTTTTTAAAGCTCATAAAAATACACATTTCACTTCTTTAGTCCTTCTGACCTTTTCCGAAAACTAATGTTAAAACCAGCCGGGATTATGAGGAAGTACACATAAAAAAATTTGGCTCTTTTTTTGTAGTGAAAACATAAACACTGGCGTACAAGAATCATGTTAAAGATCGAGGTTGGAATCTTAAAGAAAATTTAAATTGGCCCTGCTACTGATATTCATTGTGAGACCAGACGAAAAGGAAGCCACACAAAACAAAAGTAAACGTTAAGTTTTTTTTTTTTCCCCCTTCTTTCTAAATAAATGAAAGCACAAGTCCAGGATAATCAATAAAAAAATCAAAGTTCTGAACTATTAACATGACAAAACTTGCCACCAGATTTTCATGGATGACGGGTTTATCCGGATAACTACTTGAATGTTGAAGCAATTATATGATTATGCAGCCATTTTACAATTTAGGGTAAAGACATGTCAAGGGTCATGGTATCAATCCAATAGAAAAAGGGATGGAAGAACATACAACAACTGAAAAATCAAGATTTTGACCTCAAAGCTAAACCTGTCTCTACCTTCTTTATTTCAAAGATAAGCATCCTCCACATCTTTAGAACGAACATTTCAGCCTCTTCATCCAAAATAATCTGAAGACGCTCAAGCATTTGGGAAGCTTTCACATGTTCTAGTGTACTGGAAACAATATAATCTATCAATGTAGTCTCTTCTTCTCCCAAAAACTCTTTGATTTTCTTTGAAATCCACGGTCTCATTCTTTCATGTAATTGATGCTGAAAAAAAAGCATAATATAAGAATAAATACTTAGAATACAACACCATTTTCTACCTATCAGACTGCACAAACCCAAATAATGAAAAACATGTATAAACAATAGCACTTTAAACATAAAAAGTTAGACTGCAAAAGCTGTTCCACTCACTGAGCACGAGTGAAGCATTCTTCACTAAAAATACATAAATATAAAAATATAAAGTTTAATTAAGTTCCCAAAAGGATGAGAAGGTCGCTCTCTAGCCTCCTTTCATTTTTCATATTTTGATGTTTCTATGAAACTCAACATATATAAAACAAACTATCAAGGAATCTAAAGCTGCTTTTTCTCTCCAATCCTTTGCAGGAAGTTCATCCACAAACTCTATGGAATCCTCAAACTTCCGTTGTTTTTCTAAGCTCCTAGAACAGTTGTTTCTGCGCACAGCTACTACAATGCTTCAACCCAACCTTACAAAATTACACTAATGGCCCCAAAAAAAGTGATCAAGGAAGTTTATCCATAAATTATATAGAATCTTAAAACTTCCGTTGTTTTTCTAGGCTCCTAGAACAGTTCTTTCCTCACACAGCTACCACGATGCTTCAAACTTTCCATCAACAACGCTACACAGTTACACTAATGCACCCCCCCAAAAAAAAAGAGATCAAGGTATACCAATCTGGCTCACGGGCCAAATGAAATATAGATAAGCCAACTCTTTCTATTAGTTCAAAATTATATATTACAAATCAAAATCTGCTTACTAGGATCACATACCTTATCATACACTGCCCAGTCTATCTCATATGAGAACAACTCCTCCTTCGTCTTTGGTATCATATCAATCAATTGTTTAGCATCCAAAAGCCTCTTGTTATCAGAAGTCTTAACTTTCTCCGATCCATGATCTCGATCCCTGTCACGATCAGACATTCTCTCCTTGTTTTCATCTCTGTTGTGAATACCATCTTCATCATTTCTGTCCCTGTCCCGGTGGTTAGATTTATCGTTTGATCGCCTACTTCTATCACGTTCTCCATCTAGCTTATCTTCCTTGAAATTTGTACTAGATATTCGCTTTGCAAATTCTGCAGCAGCAGCCAAATTTGGTGGGGTTGCTCCAGGAACTGTAGGTTGAACAGCCTGCAATTCTTCAGTTGAGTAATCAATTGGAACCAATGGCCTCAGTTTTTTGTCCTTGTGTGCATCATCATCCTCCTCTTCATGGAAAACAGAAGGAACAGTTGTTCTTTTCCCTGAACCAACAAGGCCAAAACCCAATTTTTTTGTAGGAGCATTCCCTTGTGTATCATTTGGAGCAACTATGGTTAATTCATCATTGGTGACATTTAGTGCATTCCCATCACCTGTCATTTTAAAGCATTACAACCTTCAATAAACGAAAGAGAGGCAAGAAACCACAAATTGTGAATAGTTATGAAAATTACCAGTATGATCTTCACCACTATAATCAGCTACAGTATCTGGTTCAGTAACATTGCTTTTGACTTCATTAGTAACCTCTTCAGTAATCATATTTTCATTACCACCATTTGCCACATGCTCAGATAATAGTTTTAAAGCATCTCTTTGCCGCTTCTGTTCCTCCTCGGCCTTTTTCTTAGCCTCGGCGATTTCTTCCTCTTCCTTTTGTTTGTCAATCAGGTCATCTTCCTTCTCACGCAACCTCTTCTTTCTCTTCTCCTCTATCGCACTTCTACGCCACCTTTTCCTAGAATCTTCATCCTCATCCTCTTCATCATAAAGTATCTCCTTTCTCCGTTTTCTTTCCCTTTCCTTCTCCTTCTCTTTTTCATACTGCCGCTCTTTTTCTTTCTCTCGCTCTCTGTACTCCCATTCCTTCAGATATGCTTCATACTGACGTTCAGCCTCCTCAATTCTTCGTCTTTGTTCCCTCTCTTTCCGAACTCGTTCCCGTTCTGCTTCTCTCTCATATCTTTCAAGTTCTCTTTCCTTTTCTCGTTTTAGTTCCCTATCTCGGTCTCTCTCTCTGTTTTTTCTATCATGCCTTCTGTCAGGGCTTTCAGGCCTATCATGTTCGCTGCTTGGTCTCTCATTGCTTGTCTCTTTCTCATTTTTATTTTCAGCAGATTCTACACAATTTCAAAAGAAAAGTTTCAGAATAATAAACTGACAAATAAAAAGAGATAAAGGTGTCCTGGTGATAAAGTATAGCCCTTTTGTGTCTACACTCAACAGAGAATAGAAACACAATTTTTTTTTTCCTTACCATTCTTCTCTGTATCAACAACAGAGTCTCCATCTCTTGTTTTAACAGATTGTTCTGAAGTTAAATTCACAGAACCGTCAGCACTTGGCTGTGCAGGTGGTGGAGGCAAAGGTCTTGTTTTCAGCCTTTCCTCTATCATCTTTGTAATCTTTTCTAAAGCCTCACGGTCCACTTCTCTATCTTCATCAGTGACAATCCCAAAGTTTGTTGCATCAGGGGATTCCTTATTCACTGATTCACTATCCGCTTTATTTGAGGGTTCTTTCACAGCCTTTGTATCCTCATTTGCATTAGAAGGTTGTTCACCTTCATCTTTTTCAACTACTCCTGCCTGAGTTTCTTTGTTCAAGTTCTCAGTTTTTTTCTGAACATACCGCTCCAGATGTTCTTTCATAGCTTGATTCACGTTTACCTAAAAAAATATATATAATAAATGGCTTAAGATCCTTATATATGCAAGAGAAAAATTGTAATGTGTCAGCAAAACTTTTATCATAAGAATTACAGGTCTTGTTCAAAGAAATTTTATTCGCTTTACTTGAAAAAAATGCAGATGTAATAGTTTATACAATACATCATAGAGTTCAGCATACATGGCATGCACCAAACAGTCACTTCAAGAACATAACCAGTATAGCAGTTCCACTTACAAAACCCCTTAAAAATAAAGATAACTTCACAATACTCTGCAGAACCCATCATGTCAAAAGGATTTGAAGAAACCACTACATAAAGACAAAGGAGGTATCAATCGTTTTGTTTCTTTCTCAGTAGCAAACTTAATTATCAAGTATTCATATACTTAACTATTAGTATGGCCTTACCCAAAAGTAAAATATCAAGATTATACCTTTAAATATACAGTAATAAAAAAAATAAAAATAAAGGCATAGACATCATAGTGCAGATTAACAAAAATACAAAGAAAAAATAATCAAAGATGAGAGGTACCTTTAGTTCTTGCCCATCAATATTCAATTTAGTAAGGAGACGCAAGGCACGGAGAACCCCTTCTGCAGACTCAAACTCGTAAAACCCAAAACTGGTAGGAGTTCCAGTTGATAAATCCTGAGGACGTTTCCAGGTCTTGATAGTTCCGCATAACTTAAAGGAAATAATAGAATCAGTACATTAATAAGTATACATTATGGTTCTAAGACACCTATTGTCTAGTACATATGAAATAAATGCTGGAAAGAGAATAATGGAGAAAAAGTGTTTTTTTCAGTTAAAATATATGTTCAAAACTTATTCCAACTAGACAGTTTTCTAACAAAAGATTAAAAAAAAAAACACTTGCCCTAAATAGCCAAAACCTGCTCCCACCCAAGTAAAGAACAAACTTAAAAATTTACTTGAAGGAGAGAGAGCATGAACTCATTTTCCACAGTTGATGCAATCTTGCCAATATAAACGGTGTTTTGAGGCTTCTCAGCTGGAGTAACACTAGGGGCTACCAAAGGTCTGACAACAGGAGGAATAATTGGGCGAACAGTAGGGATCCCTGCAACAGGTGGGCGTGATATTGGAGGTAAGTTAACTGCTCCAGGAGGTCGTGGAGGAAATACAGGACGAACCATAGTTCCATAAGGAGGGGGGTAACGAGGAATTCCTGTACAGAGCAGAAAAGCATCTATGCAAATATATTAGAGCAGATTATGAGTGAATATGTATGCACCATAAACAAATCAGTACAACAACACTAAAGATATATGCCGGAAAAAAAAAATGTGACAAGAACAATGGAATGCTGTTACCACACATCTAAAGCATAACAGAGATGGCAGCACAGCCAACAATCACCAGCTGAAATGACAACCTGAAGAGAATAATAACAAATTCTATCGAGTTTAAAATTCACACTATGTGTAAAAGTTCTTACCTTTGTATGACCACTTGAAACATAGCAGGCTTCTCAAACTATCCCATCCACCAATTGCAAATAGTAACTTGCATAATCTTATGGTACGTATGGTTTAATAACAAGAAATTTTAGTTGAATTATAAGTTCTTTTCATACAGCAGCATGCCTTGCAGCATAAAAAATTAAATGAAACTGCAATAGAGAGAAAAGATTGCAATACCTCATGACACAAGGCCAACGTGTGCATTCATTCAGTTGCAAACATTGTCGGCTTCTGGAATTCATAAAGCCATTGAAGGGAAAGTACTCTTATAACTAGCAGAAAGTGGCCTACTAAAACGAGAGCACGACACAACCATACATTATTTACATCGACAAAAGAACAATCACTCTTTCATTTTTTTGTCAGCATCCCTCCACATAATCGTCATTTCCAATTCCATAAAAGACAAGACAAGCTAGAAACCAGGCAAATATGTGCATACCAAAAAATGAGTTGTTTGTAGAGAGGTGTCTTTATGCAATATGAAGCCCTCCGACCTTTCTCAATGAATTCAATCAAGACACTGTAGGAGAAAACATCCTGTCATCGATACCCCTTATCTAACCATTAAGAACTCTCTCAAAATCTCTCCGAGCACACTCTTCCAAAACAAACTTTTCCCTCTCAAAAAATCCAAAACAGCCATGATATCCAGAGCTGTTATCTAGAGTCAGCACTCACCACACGCACTCACTCAATAATAACAGTATTCACACATTTCATAGGTAATAACCATCACGGAATAAAGAAACACATTGATAACTGACGACAAGTATAATTCCAAAGTCATATAAAAACATTGACACATCCAATGAACCAGCGCTAAATTAAATGCAAATTCACTGAAATAATAGGTACAAGGAATAATTGAATGAATAACCCACCCGCGGGATTTGCGGTCGGAGCTGGAGCGTAACCGTTAGGGATCGGAGCGAAGGGTCGCATGACCGGATTACCGGGTTGAACCTGGTACGACATCATCGGCTGCATCTGCGGCGGCGCCGGGGCGCTGGCAACGCCGGGCGGCGGAACGGTAGGGTTTTGGTAGACCGGGTGGGGCGCGGGGACGGGGGAGAATTGTGGTACCTGAGGAGCGAGCGGGCGGAATGACGGAGGGAGAACGCCGGGGACCTGCGGCGGAGTGCCGGCAGGAAAGAGTAACGCGGGCGGCGGAGGGAGCAGCGTTGGATTGGGATTAGGGTTTGCGGCGAGGGGCGTGGATGAAGGTGGTGTTGAGGATTGGGGGAGTGGATCGGGTGGGTTGGGAGGTGCGGATTCGGAGGGTTGGGGATTGGGGGGTAGGGTTGCGGGGGAAGAGGCAGAATCCGCCATGGAAGAAGAACACGATATTGGGGATTTGTTTGTGAGGAAGTGAAAATTGATCTCTAAGTGTTTGTGTTTTAGTCTTTGTGCAACTCTTTTGCTTGCCCTAGAAATTATGCAATAGAATACACAGCGTCTCTGTTGCGGTTAAAAAGTGTGGGAGTGTGATAATACGAGTTCGCTCCACGTTGGTAAGTATGTCCAAAATAGAAAGTATTTTACACTTTTACGGTTTTGCCCTCATTTTATGGCTAAGTTTATCCTTCTTATCGTTACAAAATTAAGATATGCATACATCTTATTTCACCAAAGACTTCATAGACAATTTGATGTAAGATCAAAATAACAAGTGATAAGTGGGGAGTAATTGCTAGAGGTTTTAAAAATGAAGTTAATTATGTTTATTTACTATTACAAAAAGTAGACGTATACGAACTCTGTAGAAAATTGTTTTAGATAATTTCTACTTTTTTATTTATTTTTAAAAAGTATAGCAAACGTGTAAATTTGGTTTCATCTTTAAAAACCAGACTTTTGGAGACTTTGACCTCGTGTCCCATGGAGTAAAATATTAAAATTTTAGATTCTTAAAAAATTAAAACTTTTATTGTGAGTTGTTTGTTGTGTTATTCGTATAACATTTTTAGATATTTCTATAATGCATGCTCGTGATGTTCTATCAACATAGTAATAATGTTGCATGTGGTTTATGATTCCACATGCATGGAAAGTATGGAAGAGATTAGATATTTCTAGTCTTGACACATATGAATACTTAAATAATGCTTCATTTATTAACCTAATCCTTACTAACATTATATTTCATATTTACATTGCATCATACATTTTATGATTTCTAAAATAAAATTTAGAAAATGAAAACTTTAAAAGTGTGAATTAATTACAATGGTAACCGTCTAGGATATTTCAAGTTAAAATAAATGGGAAAGACAATTTAAATTATATAATTAAATACGTGGTAATAGAAGGGGTGGTTTGAGATATCATGGGGATATGAAAGATTGGGTTTTTTTAAATATGTTGGTAAGAGCGATCCTTTACTTTCATAAATAGAAGGGGATAAAAAATTTTAAGTATTATAATGCGTGATTCATATGTAGAGAAAAGACAATGATGATTTGATTTTAAACAATAAATGACTAAGTCTAGTTTATTTGAAAAGAAAAAAAAAAAGCATATACAATTATTGGTTCAAATGGTATATGAAGAAGAGATATTTATATGGTTAGGTTTGTTAATGGAGATGGTTAGGTTTGTTAATGAAGATGATTGGGTTTATGAATTAAAGAAGAAAAGTAGGGTTGCATGAACGATTATGTAAAAATATGGTATTTATAAACATATGTCACAAAAGTGTCTTAAATAAGTTTAGCATAAAAGAGTAGATATGAATAGACATGAAGAATGACATCAAACTACTATTAAAATAATAATGATAAATGTTAAAATATCTCTTATCAATTATTCATCACCACAAATATAATGCAATAATCAAAGTTAAAATATTTATGACAACCACCATGATTATTTGCTAATGATTGAGTGTAATAAATGGTCACATTAAGCATCATAATTCAATCATAGAAAGTTAATATTACTTTAAAAAAACAAATTTATTTTACTTTTGTATGTGTATAGATTGTTGATACTAGTATCTTAGATATGACATTATGGATCACAATAAAAAAACTAATGTTTAGATACAATTGTATATTCCATTTAACAACATGGTCTTCAAATAAATTACAAATCTCATATTTCATGGAGTCAAAATTATTAGATTGGGGATATAATTATAAAATTTAAAATATTTAACCCAACAAAAAAATGTCACCTTGAATATACAATAAACATTTCTTAAAATAAAAGTTCATGTTAGACCACAAAAATGAAGATCGTGACTAATATAGTCAAACTTGTAACTTAAATTACTTATGATTCTATCTTCAAAAGTGTAATATAAATATCAACTTATCAACTTGAAATTCCTTTATATAAAGAATCTTAAAAAATGACTTTTTAATAAATCGTATTATAAAAAATATATGACATTAGTTAAATCATAAAAGAAAAAAAATCTTCAACACTAAAAAGACCTAATCTTTCTCAAACTCAAAAATGGTGAGAGTTATAAGTGATAATTCCCTGCAAAATAGAAATAAAAGCATAAAAGTTATTTGTGTATAAACTAAAATCACTAATTCAATACTAAAACTAATTTGTGTATTTTCTTAAAGATATATAACAATTCTTTTAGCATGGAATACTTTCAACATGCAACATAAATGAAAGTAGTAGTAAAAAAAAAATGTGATCATTAAAACATTTCACTAGTGAAATAACTTATTGCAATATATGTTATGTGGACATTTACTTAACATATTACACGGTATATAATAGGAAATATATATTATATCTCATGGAGTCCTCTTTCTCTCACTAAAAATCCATTATATTAAAACAGAGGTTTATCATCCGCTCAGCTCCAATTAATCCGCTAAGCGGATATGTAACTACTTCAGCTTGAAGGAACTTAATCCGCTCGGCGGAGAAAGGTTATTTTCAATATAATTCAACTTTTTCACTTTTCTAATAGTTTAAATTTTGTATAAATTTTATCACGATCAACTATGTGATCTATAGCATTTTAACATACATGGTTTTCAATATAACTCAAAAGAATATGAAGAGGTAATGTTTGAGTAATAAGTTATTATGTTGTAAAAAAAAACTTCAATTATAAGTTTAGAGAAAGGTGTTGACTTTGTGTCACATGTGTAATAAACAAATCTTAATTTTTTTATTATTTATAATTTGATATTTAACATAAAATATTATAAATGGTAAAAAATCCTACTAATTGATTATTTAAATTAAAATGAAAATGTATGTAAGTTGGTTCTCTTGATCTAAAAGATAATAAATTATAAGGGTAAATGACGAATTTAGTCTTGAAATGTAACATTATGAATTTAGTCATTCACAAAATGAAAAATCAAGTGTAATCCTTGAATGTATAAAAAAATTAAATTGGTCTATAATATTATAATTTGATGACAAAACAATTTTTAATTTACCATCAAATTCGTCACTAAAAACTTAACAATGAGATGCATTTACAATACTTTTTACACATTCAGTAATGAAAATAAATATTTTGTTCTTAAGGAATAAATTAACACTCCCTCTCACATTTAAGAACCAAATATGTCATTTACCATAAAATATGGTCTCAAACTTTAATTTTAGAGAAACATAAAAATTGATATCGATATAAAAAATAATTAAGCTAGAATGTTTGCAACAAATTCTACATGCACAAGTATTTTATTTGAAGATAAAACACGTTCAACAACTAGAAAGATACTATCCTATTAATGAGGACATAAATAAGATAATAAAAACAAAATAAAAACAAAAAATCTTAGAGTTCTTATAAGAAACATGACCTAGGGGATAGATAAGAAATAATAGAACTTATAAAATAAGAATAACAAGAACAAAACTTAAGAAGCTACATATTGGAAAGCAAATAATATAAATTAAAATCTCTAGCAATAGACTTTTTGTTTTAAACATATTACAATTAGAATATTTGAAAAATATTTTCAGAGTATTCTTATAACATGTTTTAGAGTAAAGTGATTAAGAGACATAAACTAACTTAACTACTTAGTTAAGCTACTTCATGAATTTAACTTAGTAAATGAGTTACAACTTTCTTCTTATTCATGCATGAATTATTGAGTTCATTCCCCTTATATTTGTTTTTTACTTCTCTTTCACACCTTAAGAAGTTTCTCCATCACACTTTCTTATCCTATTAATTAAGGTTTCCCATGTGTTCTACACACTAAAAATATATGAAAGAACATTACATTTATCATTGACACATTTCAATGGTGACATATTCTTTTCATCTTCTCATCTTTTCTATTTGATTTTCATTTTACCTCTTTTGTTGTTTGTGTTTCTCTCCCATTTTCATTTATGCTAATATAATATTATTGGTTTGAAACAAAAATTGCATAAATATTATTTAATTAAGTTCATCTATTAAAAAAAAAAAAATACAAGAACACAAGTTTTAAACTTTTTCGACTATTGAAGATAATTATCAACTTAAGAATAATTTTCACGCTTCCACTATCTAAATACAAATCGCATATAATGTTAGCACCTGTTTTTAGACAATGATAATGAGTAGGTGTTGAACGTAAAAAAGTACAACATTTTCAATATATAACCTAATAAGCAACACATAAACCAAAGTTTCAATATAATTAATATCATTCAAATCGTTTTCAACAATCTTCATTGATAAGCTTTAAAGGAGCAACTCAAATGATCATAACGTACAAAAGAGACAAAAATTGGGCAAAAATGATTGATGCATTTTGTATCCCAAGATGTAAGTTATATTTCTTTAGTTTGCTTGTGAATAATAATAATAATAATAATAATAATAAATCAAAACTCTATGTCACGAGAATCCATGTGTCTAAAAATTATGAAATTTGTTTATATAATCTTAGTTATTAAATATTTATTAGGAAAAATAATTAAAAATGTATTCAACAAGTTGTAATAATATATATTATAATATATAAATTAGTATAATTTTCACTTTTCCTAACTAATTTTGTAGAATTGAAATAGGTATTTCACTATTTTTATAATGATATAAGAATTAATTTTGATGTTAGGATAATAACCATTAATAATAGTGAATTTAACCACCCGTTATTAGATTAATATTGAATCATTTATTATAGATGTTAAGGGGTGCATTGAAAAAATCTTCTTAAATACGAAGAAGTATAATAAAAAAAGGAGTGTATTAAAAAATCTTATATCGATTAAATATAAGATAATATTAAAAAATATAAAGGAGTATAATCTTCAAACCAATTTTATAGAATTAGGTATCTCACAAGAATATATAGTTACTTTCATTAAAAGCTAAAATAATATAAACAAATTATTAAAATGTTAGAAAGGAAAATCATATTAAATTGTTTTATTCAAAATACTAATATTATCAAAATTATTAAGAATTAAGAGAAGGGTTAATGACTGAATGAGCCTATTAATAATAAAGTAACTAAACTAGATCAATTCAAAGAAATAACTAATTTGATAGAAAGGAATATCCGATATGATATAATTATATCTTTGCTTATTATTAATGTTGTGTCAGTCATGTACATATCATTATCATATAAGTGTTGATGTCAGCTATCCCTTTTTTTTTTCAAGCACAGGTAAAGGGACATGGAAAGATGAAATGCGACACTACTTGATTCGAAATATACAAAAGAATTTTGAAAATCAAGGAAAGATGAAAAAAACTTTATGCACTTGTGAGAGGAGAAAAACAAAGAAAGATAACATAGTCAATCATGATCAATATTATGGCATCAATATTTTGTTATTATTCTTGTTCATTTTAAAAGTCAAATTAATTATGATCATGATATAAATATGTTTTTAGTTTTGTTCATGCTATTTTTTATTATAATAATAATATAAAATAATTAAAAATATTAAAAATAATAATGAATAAAATTATTAATAACAACTAAAACCATCTCTCTTTTTTACTCGTTTCTTTTATCTCGAGTTCGACTTCATTGAATATGACACAATTCAACAACTCATTAAAAGAAATAATCCATATTGGATATCACATCTCTGATCCATTTCGGACATGTCAGAATAATTCACAATCACACTATGAGATTGTGTGCGCCTTAAGCTGAGCAAAAGGTCCCCCCAGATTCCCAAAAACCAAATAATATAATCTATATGTGTATATAATTATGATGAAAATAATAAAGAATTACAAACGATTATCAACCTTGGTGGCACGAATTGATTTCCAAGGAACGAGTCACAGTAACTGCTATTCCAAACCCCTCGAACCATTTTTCACCATTTTGAATGGAATTCTCAAGGATTTTTCATCTTTATTCTCAACTTTCGAGCAATTTGTGCCGCTTTAGGATGACTTGGCCTCTTGTTACTATGGTACTGTTCTACCTCCACCCAATTCATAACTTTCAGTAGGAGAGATTGAGGAACTTTCCTGACATCCCCATCTGATGCATCCTTTGTTTTCTTCAAACCCGTTTCCATGGCCTTCTCAATGAACTCCATGAACCAATTTCCAGCTTCTGTTTCAATCTGCTTTCCCAGTTTAATTGTATTGCTTAAGCTGCTGCATGATCCCCCTGGTTTCTTATTCTCATCATTTTCAACAATAGGTTCCAGAGGCATTTTTGTAAGCGGGGTAGAACCTTTCTTCTCCAAAATCTCCTTTTGGTTAGTACTGGATCTTAGGAGCCTCCCCATGTTTGCCTTTTGCTCATGCTTTTCAGGAATGGCTGCCATTGACTTGTACAGAGCGCCCCTTCTTTTGGACAAGTTTGATTCATTGTTCCCAGATTGGTCATAATTTTCTATGACTTCATGCAAAACCTGCGGTTCTTGCTTCTCTGATTTCTGAGACAACTCTGAAGCTGAAGTAGCAGCTTGTATGGACACCATTTCATTAACTGCTTGCACAATCTCGCTATGGAATTCCAAAAACCGTTCAAAACAAGCCGCAGGAGCATCAGTTCGAGCTGACTTGCTTAAATTTGAGAACATCCTGAAAGAAAATAAACACAAACAAGACATTCCATACATCAGTATGCAAAACTTTTTGTCTTTAAAAGATAAAAGTCTCCCTTTTATCCTTTGTGTATGGAAATATTTCAAAATTATCTAATGAGATCAAAAGTACACTATTTTACATGAAAGACAATGACTACAATGACTCATGTGCAGTCCTAAAACATAATTTATTCAAAAAAGAAGTATACTTGAGGGACCGAACTACTGTCTCAGTAGCTGAAGCATCTCTTAAAGCTTGAAGGGCAATCTTCTGAGCCACTTCTCTCTGCTGCACAGCTTCCTGCCAAGCAAAAGGCAAGTTCTATTCAATCACTGAACCAAAAGGACAAAAAGGAAACAGAATTTAAGATTCTACCTTCCCCAGCGAGCTAAGCTTTCCTGGTAAATTCACGGGGAGGCTAAGATTATTGCAATTATCAAAAGCTGAATTAGTTGAAGACTGAGATTGGGGTTGAGAAGTGATATTTGAGTCCAGGTTGTGATTTTGACCATTGCCATCCTGAGAGCCCACTCTTGCATTCCTCAACTGCGGTGGTGGAGTCCCACTTTTCTTCTCCTGCATGGGAAATTCACCACTTTCACACACAGAAGCCTACTAATAATACTAACAAATATTGCATTATTTGAGCTTATATGTGTATTCCATAAAGACAATAGTGTTTGAATTAGATAATATACTAAATGAAGTAAATTATCCTCACACTCAACAATATTACTTCCTCTGCCTTCTAAAAATTAACTTCATTCAAGATTTAATTACGCTTTTAGAGTCAAGTAATGGATATATGGAAAGAGTGAGAGTAATTTATTATAACTGTTTTTAAAAGTGACATATTTATGGTTGTTCATGATGTGTGAGAAGGAACCTTAAACTGTAATAGTTTTGTATCATGTGACACGGAAAGTATATATCTTATGTCCCCTTAAGGCTACCTTTTAAGAGATACAGATTATATATTACACTAATTTCTTTAGTTAATAAAAACTTTAATTATTCAAGAGAAACAGCCATGAAGAGATCAGATACAGAAATGGGATAGTTTAATTTACTATAATGAAGAATGTAATGATTATTGTTAAAAGAAGCATTCATGTAAACTATGAAAGAGGAAAAGAAAAAATGTACCTACAGCTGACTTGAAGGGGTTAGTAGGGACTCTATGCTCTCGTTCAGAAACACTCCTGCTCCTGCCAAACTTCCCATTGGAAGAAACAACCACGCAGCTTTTCCTCATCATCGCAGGACTTTCCCCTTTCGCATCACTCATCTTCGCAAGAAGCCCTCCACCAACAGAGGACCTCACAGCAGAAACAGGAGTCCCATCTCTCCCAACCTTCCCTCTAATCATAGGTGACGACATTGCCACTTGTTGAAAACCCCCATTTCTCGCTTTCACAGGGGTACATTGGTCAAAGTCCAGATTCACCGGTTTGAACACCATTGGCGAAGAAACCGAAACCCCATCACCACCACCACCATTATTTCCCCAAGACCCTCTTCTGGGAACAGAACTGGACTTTTGGGCCCTGAGGCCCATCAAGGGCTCGGGCGTGCCCACCAGAGGGTGTCTTCCAGGGAGGGGCTTGGCGCCACGCAGAACAGGAACGGGCGAACCCGGTTCCAAGCAATCGACGTAGATGAATTGGCCGAGCTGCATCTTGTTGCTGAGAACGACGTCGTCTTGATCAGAGGGAAGACTGGCGTAGATAGAGTGAGAGGAATCGGAAACCTTGATGTAGAAGCCCTGTTTGGGGATCAAATTCTTCTCGTCAAGATCCGCGGGGACTATATCGGTGACCTGCAAGAGTGAGCTCCGGTGCTCGCTCGTTGGTTTCACGCCCGTGTTCAGACCGTTCAGGAGCTTCAACACGATTCCAGGAGCAAGTGTTGCCATAATAGTGACGGGATGATCGATGATGATTACTGTGTTGGAATTAGAATCTTTTGAGATTGAACGAAGACGGATTGGGTTGTTGGGGAAAGGGATTAAGAAAAGAATGAAGGAAGGAGGAGCGTGGTGGTGAAGTTGGCTGTGAGTGTGTTTTCTTCTCGAGGCAAGTGGCCGTTGGTAACGGTAAGTGGGATATGTATCACTTTTCGAAATTTGGAGATTTTCTGAACGTTGGGACAACGGTCGTATTTTTTTAATAATGCACCTGGAAACAAAAATCTTGAAATTGTTTTAAAGGATTGATTTTTTTATGTGTCTGAAATTAGGGTTGATTTTAGATGAATAATAAAGGAAGTTTTTATTGAAAAACATTGATTTTGCTCTACTTCTTTACTTTTCAGATTATGAATATATATTTTTTTATAATCATTTCAATTTTATATTAAGTTTGGGAGAAAGAAATAAAATAGAAGAGAAGAATAATGTATATTTAAAAATAGAGACATTTTTTTATTCATAAAATAAAGGTTGTTTGAAAAATATAAACTTTAATTATTAAAAAATAGAAATGGAGTAACTTTTTCTTAAAAAAATTATTTAATTTAAAAAATAAATATTATTATTTAATTTATTTATAATGTTATTTATTTATTATTATTATTATTATAAAAGGTGAAATAAAAATTTATATATAACAAGGAATCGTCATTACTAATTATGAGACAAGTTATAAAGATAAAAAATAAAAAAATGAATTTTAGTATATTTTTTCTTTTGTTGTAGCGATGATCTGTGATTAAATGATAGGAAAATAATATTTTCACAATTAATATTTTACAAACAACTAAGAAAATATCCTTAAAAATAACATTTTTGATGTTAATTAATGAAAAAAATGAAATATGATAAAATAAATAATAATATAAAAAATTTAAAAAATATTGTTAAAAAAATATTTGATAAAAATAAGTTGTCTAGCTTAAAAAACTACTATCACAGCGCAAATAATTAAAGTACAAGAAAACAGAGATTTACGAAAAAGCCAAAACAACAGGCAAAAATACATACAGTATCAAGGAACGTAGTGTTGAAAACAACTTGGATAATTGGTTTTAGTTTGATTTTTGAAACTAAAAATCTATAGAATAATCCTATTTGCTATATATTATTTGCTTACCAAAAGTAAGCAAAATTTGAAATTTCAATATAAATAACTTTAAATTTTCCCTCCAAGTAATTTAATACACAAAATCATGTCCAGAAAATGAAGTAGGGAATCACATGTTCCTCTCCTAGAAAATTTGAAGTTAAAAACGAACTACCAAAAGAATAATAAAAATATCGTATAATTGTCGTGCACAAATTGGCACATCCAATCACCTTTTTGTATAAATTAAAATTCATCAAATTTCATGAACATTGATCCTTCTTCTGAATATGGTGATTTTAATTTTAACTATTTGTCTACTTGATACCACAACAATTCAAAGCACCAATATAAAATGTTCAATCATGTAGCTTATCCAAAAATCTTCAACCATATCCATAAAATATCAAACATTCATTTTGGTTCATGTTAAAGATTCGAATTCAAATAAAATGGCCAAAATTCTTCCCTAAAGAATCTATCAGAATAAACTTTTTCCTACACATTTATAAAGAATTTTCTTTATACAAATAAATTAATTTGCAAAAATTTAATATAGTTAGAAAGAGATATCCTATTAAAAATATCTAAATAGAATTATCCATGAAGCAATTTTAACTAATATTTTTTGTTTTTCATCTCTTTTCCACCAGTGTTTCTTCTATAATTTGGCGACACAAACTTATATTCTATTGAACTAAGTGTTCAATTTATTGGCCTAAGCTTAATGATATTTTTGCAAAAAAGTTGCATAGAATATTTGCATCATGAATGTGATAGGAGAGAACAAGTGCATGTGATAAAGGCTTAATTAAAGATTTAAAGCTGCATGAACCATATGTTGATCATGGACTGTGGGAGACGCATTTACTATGTATGAGATGATGACATTAAGTATGGACTAAAAGAAATTCACAATTGTCATTGAATGACAACAACCAGATATCACATGACATAATAGAAAATTCAAATTGAAGATTCATGCATAACAAGATCAGATAACAAGATCGCTTCAAAATCTAGCATACATTCTACATGGAAAAAATTCTTCCAAATTGAGGGTTAGCAATCGGGAATAGTATCAACAGATTAATCTTTCCAAAAAGATCAACAGCAAAAACACCTTGTAAACTTCAGGAGGACAATGTTGTCTCAATAAAAATAATGAAGTTTCTTGAGTAAAACCTTTCATGCTATAGAGGTGTGGCAAAACCTGTCACATATAAAGTAAAGTAGATGTCAGTGTTCTTGAATAAAAAGAAAAGTTTTTTAGGTATCCCAACTTTTTTGGTAACATTAAATCTTTATAATTAGATTCGACAATAGAAAACTGCCATAGAAAACAATCCTCCAGTTGTCAATAAAACCTCAAGGACTCTAGAGAATTAATCAAATGAACACAAACATGACAAAACAATTTATGCAAGAATCGATTACAGTGGAAGACTTCAAAAAGCAACCCTATCAACTCTGTATACATCATTTGAGCTGTTAAATTACTATATGTAGGTTGCACACAAAATTTACAAAACTACTTTTGTTCTTATCTAAAGAAAAAAATATAAAAAAATAATGTAAGACAGTAAGATCTTTTGAGCAAAAGAAATAAAAAATATATATACTTCTTTCAAACAAAATCAAGGAGACACAAATTGGCCTCAATGTTATTTTATCAATAAACCCTATCCAAATCTAATTAAACTCTACCATATTGCCCAGCACAGTTAGAATGTAGCATAACCAAAAATTCTGCTGAAACTGTTATTAGGGTTAGTGACAGTGTTAACCACTTGTTTCAGAAAATAAGAATAGAGTTAAGTGTAGCCTGCAGTCAGTGGTGGAGCTACCATGGTCACCCCCAAATTTTTATAACTCCCTTTGAGTTTCATGAATAAAACCTTATTTCTCATTTGGAAAGAAAGACTATCTCTCAATTCTCATCTTTTTTTCTCACAACATTAAATGTGATTCCATAAACACTTTTTGAGCAAATGCTAATCTGATAAAATCCTTTAGGCTCAAATTTTACTTATTTGCCACTCAAGTTGCCCATAACTGTCAGGGACACATAATGAAGATGATATTTCAAAATGTCCCTTAGCTGTTTCATGCATAATCATCATCTATCCTTAACCCATCCTAAGCAACTTACATAGTTTCTTTCTTCGTTATCAAGTAGAAGTTGAACATCAAACTTGTCTCCTAAGTGGTTAAAACATTATCTTGAAGTCAGTTGTTCTATAATTGAATCAAATTAACTCTTCTAAATTCTACCATTGGTAACTAGTTTAACAACTTCAGTTCCTAATAGAATTGGGATTATATTTTTTAAACTGATTAACAACATAACAAACAGATCTTAAATGTTAGTAAGTACCATGTCAAAGCCCATTACAACTTCCCATATACCTGTGCCACAACAATCAGCATGTCCCATGACAGACCATGCAATGTATACAAGAACAATATTCTTAAAGAAAAATATTTATATGGTCATACTTGTGTAATTTGGAATGGTAAAATGAGAAAAATGCTAAAAACACACCTTTTAGGACACTCTATTTCATTTGTTGAAATTTAATAAAAAATCATAAAATTTGATAGGTCCCATAAATCATGAAAATAATTTGAAAACAAGCAGCTCTTGTAATTGATAAACTTTTAGGGCAAGCCATTCCATCCAAAATATGAAAAAAAAGAGGGAAGGATACCTTCTGACAGACAACCCCAGTTAGTATTGTGCAAAGAAAGCAGAGAAGTGAACAAAGCAGAGGCAGTAGCACTATGCAACGGCGTCAAAGACAATTGTGCACCAACCAACTGCACCGGAAGCCTAAACAGCAACCATAATAATTATACAGTTCATAAGAACACAAAATGTTATCTATTTCCTTATCTCTAAATAGAGTGAAACAAAAAGGGCAGAGCGCAGTAAAAAATAAATGAAATTTACCGGGAAAACGAGAAGGCGTGTTTGTGTGGAGAAGAAGGAAATCCACTGAGCTTAATGGGATGTAAAGATCGATGAGAGAAGACGGTTCTGGTGACAGAGGAAGTTAGTTGGATGGCTTTCCTTGCAGAATTGGCCGCCACCGCCATCTCTTGTGCTCTGCATCAACACTTCTTCCCACTTTCCTGTTGTACGAGAAAGAAGAGTGTGCCTGATGGGCTGGGTCTTTGTTCACAACCAAAAAGTCCATTTTTCTTGAAAAACAAATAGAAAACTCCCCACATTTTTCTTTTTCAATTTTTTATTTGAGTTTTTTTGTTTATTTTTTTCAATATTTAGTTATGTTATTGAAAAATAAAAATATAATTTTGGTCTGATCTAATTTTAAATTTCGTATATATAAATCATAAATTTAATGTATTCACTAAAAGTAACATTAAGAAATAAAATGAGTTAACTTATGAGAAGGGGATGGATTATTTTAAGTGTTACTTTTCATTCCAACTATTTCCTTTTTTTTTTATTTATCCAAATATTTTAAATAGTAATTTATCTCTAATTATTATATTAAGTAAAATAAAAATGTGAACATATCGAATAAAGTTATTCTTAATATAATTCAGGTGATAAATATTGTAGTAGTGCAAAGTGAAATGTAGAACTAGGGTTCTTTATATGCTAACTAGACACTTCTTAATCTATGCTTAATTTTTAGGCGAAGTAAAAATAAAAAATAAAAAATAAAAATTATAAATAAAATTACTTTTAATATAACTTCATATATCTTTTGTTTTGATTTTTATTTTATAATCTAAAATATACCTTAACCTATGCTCTCACCCTATTGCTCCCACTCTTCTTCAATTTGCTCCCTTAAAAGACCTATGAAAATAACACCTAATAATACCAATGTATGATATATGCATAACTGAAGTTTGCAGCTAGATAACAGTATTAGGATGTTGATAGATTAAGAAAAAAAGATAATCTTAATTTAATTTCTAATTATGTGAGAGTTAACATCCGAAACATTAGGAAGATATAATTTTGGACCAAGCTTGATAAATGGTAACTGATTTGTAAATAATAATATGAATATTTGGAATGCAGGTTGTAGTGTATCGTATCCACATTCTATATAAGGTCTTCTTGCACCATTTTGCAGCAGTGGTGGTACATTTAGGATATGAGTAGGTGGAGCATGTGATATGTTTTTGTCATTTGTTGCCTCTTTAATGATAAATCATTACTTTCAAGTGAGATGGCATTATGGTAAGTGGCAACTAGCTAGTTATAGCAACAGTCTCGGTGTCTTTGATTAAGGTTTTGTAGTTACATAACAAAAAGGAATAAGATCAGAACAACCAAGCCCCGCTTGTGGTCACAATTCATCATCTCACCATATAACACAAATATGTACATTGACCATGTTCTCATGCCTAATAATGTATGCTCTTTGATTATGATATCATTACTCTTTATTAACCTTGATTTTAGTCTATTGATTTTATCTTTAAAAAATTAAAATTTTTTAAAATGGTACTCATATTTTAGAGTGGTGAAAAATCATGAATATAAACTATCTAATTTTACCATAAAAAAATAACAAATAAATCTTCTTTCAACATTTTTTTCTTCACAAACATCCTCGTATATCATTTTCAACAATATTAATCCAAGAAACAAGACATCAAATATACTCGAGATATAATACCTTATCAATTGTATATAAGTATTCTTGTAAATTTCTCGTAATAAACTAAAACAAATATATTAATTTATACAATGTCTCGTCTACAAAGAAGTCGCTACAAAATTAACTCTATAAGCACCTCTATATGTAATTATACATTTGACCTTAAATCGGTATATACAACGAGGACACATCATTTAATGTGAATATTATCTTACTTATTATAGGTAGATGAGATGAGAGTTGTTAGTCTCATCGTGTTACCTTTCAACAAAAGGAATATAATAATCCTTTATCTATTTTGTCATTGCTAGTACCTTTAAGTGTTTTCAATATAATTAACTGATTGTATTGACAATTCGAAGATGTGAAACCCTTAACTTATTCATTTTTCTGTTATAAAAAACATATTTCAACTCACCACGATCCTACAAGAAAAAAATAATTATTTTTAAATTTTATAACATTAATATTATACAAACAAACTTACATGAGGTGAATTAACTTACCATTCTCTCTTGTAGGTCATATGATATTCATATTTTATTCATAATGAGATAGTGATAGGCTCCATGAAAGATATTGTTTATTTGTTAGAGATTCTTGATGTTGTTTATCTAAAACATTATTGTCCATATTATATTTATATTTATTAACACCGCTTGATTATGTACTAATCCTATGTCTTATGGAGACAGTTGTCGATTATGATTCGATGTTGAAAATCACCTCCCCCCATCGTGATCATAATAAAAATAGTATTGCATAAAAATGAATTCATCAGTATTTTTTTTAATTTTTAGATTATATTATTCATAATTATTTTTATAATCTAATCTAAAATACGTTTATAGGGTGTGTTTTTCTATAAATATATTTTATATTAGTCATTATGTAACTCATTTTGAAGTATGTTTTTTGAAAATGAATTTCAGATTCAACCATTCGAAATACCGTATATACAATAAATACATTTTTTTTAATAATTTTAGATGCATACAATATAATATGAGTCAAAGCAAAAATAATCATGAGATTTCTAACCTTAAAATAAAAAGGAGGAAATAAAAGGACGAGATACACATGGGCATTAGATAAAAGAGGTAATAGTCCTCTAGAATGAGATTTCAAACATAAAAGAACTTAAAAACATTTTTATCATTTTACCCTATCATTAACATATTATTAGTGTAGAAAAAAGCAACCTACTTTTGATAGAGTTGAGTTTGGCTGGGTAGTTGTATGAATGCTAAACCCATTTCTTCTTTGTATAAAACTCCATCACCCATTTCTTCATGAACAACCAAAATATTTAAATATGTTTTTAATATGTATGTAAATATAGCTTTATTTAATTTTTTTATAGAAATATTTATTAGTTTTAAATCTTTTATAGTTTTTTTTAATCCTTATTATTAATTATAAAAAATTTAAAGATAAAAATAAAAAAATAAATACTCGATTAATATAAAGGAATAACAAAGAATTTTAAAATTAAGAAAAGTAGATTTTAATTAGTAATATATTTATTATTTAATATAAATAAGATAATTCATGACTCGATGTGTTGTCATGATTATTAAGGAGATTGAGGGTTCAAAAATTTCATATGAGTTGGGGACATAAATAATAAGAAGTTGGTGACTGACAATTGGCAAAATATACGTTGTCCGATTGCAAAAGAAGGACCTGATGTTATTTCCATTTGAGAAACCAAGCTGCTTTTTAAAAACTCACCTAGCATTCGTCTCACAGTTTTATGACTTGACTAGAGTTACGAGAGCCAGTTCTTCAAATCTAAATAGATACTATGGTTAAATATAAAGCTTCTTCTATTTGACTCGATATTTTCAATCCATCTTGGGTTGTTGGTAAGGGAGATAAGGTTGATTTTTGGAGAGATAAATTGTTAAAATAGTGAATATCTTTGAAAGAATTAGCAGAATTCGTTCTTCTTCTGTATGTGATGCTTTGGAATGACTCCTTTTGGACTATCCTAGAGTATATTTTGGGCACAAAAGACTTTAACACGATTACAATCTGTTTTTAATATAAATGACGATTTTGACTGTTCTTTATTCCATTTTAAACTTTGTTAACATCAATACAAGACGAAGTACTTATGGTTATGTCACTCGCTCTTGTGATAGATGTGATATGGATTATTTGAAAAATGCGTAATGCCTTTTGCTTTCATCAGCCCATTGACTCCGCATTGTCTTATCAACAAGAAAACTTGACCAGAGAAACATGAACAACACAACCTTCAACCATCTCAGTCAATTAGAGAGAGAAAGTTAGAGATAGAAGCTCTCAAGGCTGCATCCCGTAGCCTCCTTTCTCCTCTTTTGCATTAACTAGTCTCTGGATTTCTTTCTTATTTTGCCATGTTTCTGAACCTGTTTACCCCTACGATTTAGGTTTGTCTATATTCCTCTTCTCTTTCTCTTCTCTTGTTCCATCATGGGGAAGAAATCTAAGAAGGTCATGGAAGTCTCAGTTGCGGCAGCTGAACTCATGAAGAAAGACAAGCCCATTGAAGAATCAACCTTAGCTCAGGCCAGATGGTTGCTGCTTCGGAGCAGAAGGCTTTGAAGGTAACTACAAAACCCCCCGCGATTTTTGAACTTCAAGGGGCTTCAAAAACCCTAAATCACGAAGCTACAATACCTGCTATAGGAAAACCCTTTTTTCTGGGTTCTTCAGTTGCGATTCCTACTGCATATTCTGCTACAGATTTGGAGCTATCTTCTGGGATCTCTACTTCTACATCTTCCTACAAGATTGTTCCACATACAGAAACACGAAGAGTCCTATTTGCAGAGGTTGATGTTGCTGGTCCTCAGGTAAACTCCGTATATACTACAGTGTCTGATGCAAAATTTGCAGAACCTGCAGAGTCTCATGCTACTACAGAAATTGAATCTAAACAGAAGTCTGTTTCTGAATTTTCCAAAGAAAGCGAAGTTGCAGAGGGGATTGTCTCTAAAGTCGCAGAAGTTAAGGGCAACCGTGTAGATCTACAAACTGATATGTCTGCTCTAGGCTTTGCTGTTGCAGATTTTCCTCCTCTGAAATCCCCAAGTATTTCCTGCACTTAGGAGATGAGGACACAGTTAACTCCCAAGGAGATTCTGCCCAAAACACCTTAGTTTCGAAAAAGGAAGAAAGGAAAACAAACAAAGCTCCTTTGTCAGATATATTTGCCAACAACAGGAAGCATGCAAATGGAATGAAGCTTCAAGCCAATTTGCCATCTGGGAAAGGAGGAGTCATCATAGAAGAAGAGGACATTATAACCCAAAGTAAGCTAAAGTTCTCTATGGTGGACTATTTTACAGGGAGATTCCCAGGTATGAAAGCTTTCTTGGGACTTTGTAAAACCTGGGGAGTGCCATATAGATACTCTTTTCATAAGAGTGGCTAAATCATATTTTCTTTTGATAGTGAAGATGA